GACATGTTAAAAATATGGGTTAATGGTTTGCATATCTCCTCAATTACCCATTTAACAGTTGTCATAGTGATACCATCACTATCACTGGATGTTTTATTACCACATTTGTTCACTATCTCTATAATTTCCTTTTCAACTATGGGCTTCAGAAACATAGAACTCATGTTCCTTTCAATTGTATTGTTATTTATAGTGACGGATGTATCATCTGTACAAATGCTTCTTGCTAAACCAGGACCAACATTCACAAAGAACCTATTAAACTTATCAACTACATCCTCAAATCTATTGACCGGTGTGTCATTATCCATAAAATATTAAGGGTAGTTACTCATGCTGGTACTGTTTCTAATCAGTTTATTTAATATATTCCAAGTACCTCTCATGTTATTTTTATTATCCTCTAATACTTTAGAGTAATATAGTTTCTTACATCTCCTCAAAATCTCAATTAATTTGTTCTTATATGACTTATATTTTTCTTCCGCCTTCTTTGATCTGTCCTTTATGAATTCCTTATATAACGCATTCTTCTTTTTACATGCATTCTGTAATCCCTTACTCATCCACGGTTTCCCACTGTAATTCCTTTTGTTTTTATACTGCTTACGAGGACAGTTCCTGTCATATACTTTCTTAAATATATTTAAAAAATTACAAGTGCTATGGATGAGAAGAAATACACGATAGGAATATTTATATGTTCATATGCTTTGTCTAAGTCTTCCTCTCTGTAAACTGCTTCCCAGTCCTGCCCCCTAAAGTCCTCTTTTCAACTTTCAAACTTTCACCTCAAACTTCAAAGACCCGTGACGTCAGTTTTGAAACGTTGCTAATGAGTTAAATTGCCGAGAGTTTAGTGCATTGTGTTGAACTTTTGTCTGCTTTTGAAAAAAAAGAGTATCATAATTCTGAACAATATTTCAAAAGTATTTCCCTTGAACACAGACACCCCCTCAAAATCCCCCTGCAACCTGGGGTACACTGCTTTTCAGGTGACGCACACACAGGTCCTGAAGGCCCTGAAACAGGTAAACTCCAATAAGGCCACGGGACCAGATTGTGTCCCCCCTAGAGTGTTGAGAGCCTGTGGGGATCAACTAGCTAGTGTGTATGCATACATCTTCCACCTGTATTTAACCCAAGCAGTAGTTCCCCGCATTTTTAAAAAATCCATTATCATACCAGTCCCTAAGACATCAGACACATCCACTCTGAATGACTTAAACCTTTTAGATCATATGAGCAGCTTGAACACTGGTCTAAACGGGTCTGTATTACTACTAATTCTCAGCGCAGAATCTCATTTGACGACACAAGCCATCTCTCAGATTTCTTAACCAAAAGGTGGTTGTTTTTGGCACTAAAAATGTCCTTGTCAGTGCTGAAAAGCTGCTCACAAACAGCACTGGCTGGGACACTGGTGCTGGACTTTATGAAGACTTGAAGCTTTTCTGGCAGAGATGAGAACACAATGGGGATGTAACCGGGGAGTTCAGAAAGACTTCCACCTTGTTTCCTTTGTCATCTTTAAAATTAGATTTTTTTTCCCCTTCCAAGAGATTCAGATCAGAACTTCCACGGATATGTAGACAAACCAAAATCTTTTTCACATCAAATATGGGTCATTTCCATTTGTGGTCCTAGAGCTGATGTCTGAGACTGACTGCGACTGCGTCAAAACTACCAGATGCACACGCACGCCGCCCTCTTTAGTGACGAATCACAACCTTTAACTGTTGGTGGAGCCTGAATGGAGGGGAGTAAACAGGACGTCTCACTCTGCCACTGTTCCTGGGTACCACAAAGATCCGACCTCTTCTTATAATCTGCCTCTGTTTTTCTTGACGCCTTTCTGGGATAAAAGAGATTTCCTAACCACATTCAAAAATCAAGTACCAACTCACGAAATGTTAACACAAAGCTATATTAGTAAATATATTGCTGAAACACTGAGTAATGGCAATTGCGCTCTATTAGACGATCTTCACACTTGATTCAGTTTGCCCTTCCTGACTGGTCAATCACAACAGTGATGGCGGCGGCAGTAACACGGTTCTTCCTCCGAGGTGCAGGCTCGAAAGTTCCCAATACCGGTGTTAGCACCAGGGGTCACAGCTCTTTTGGAGCCACTCTACTGAAACTGTCCCCGAGCTGCAACGTCCGCACAAAAACACAGAGACGGCATGCAGCGCACTTTACCTTTCAGCCTGACCCCGTCCCGACACAATATGGTGAGTGGCTGTTCAGTTGGCTAAACGTTAGCTAGCTACATTAGCAGAAAAAAATGTTTAGGTATGGTGCATTACAGCTGCGATTTTCAGAATCAATAGAGACAATTCTGACCATCTGGACGTAAAAATATTCAGTAGATTGCACAATAAGAAAGGATTTTTAACCTGTCTCCCACGTTGTGACTCTGTTTCTATCCAGGTAATCAGTGGGTCGCCATCTTTGTTTTGATACCCTGCCTGAGATGATAACTTGTCTGATAAGTCTACACAGAAATGTATTTATGCAGTTGAAAATTAATAAATTTACATATACTCACTCTCTCTCCCTAAAAAATTACAAATGTATGTATGTGTATATATATACATATATATGCAAATATGATACATTTCAAATGTTATTAATTAGACACAAGATGCCCTTTGCTTCACTGAAAATACCATTCACAGCTTGTCTGGCGGTTTTATGTTTTCAGCTTGTAAGGTTTCAAACTGGACCATGATTGGCAAACTAGGTGTCATATCTCGCATGCTCGTGTTAAACTGAGACGGGAAACCACTCCTCTTCAACAGATGAATGTAAATACAGTCTGGACTCTGCACAGTGAAGCTCATACATCAAAGGAAGAATAAGCAAAACACATTGTTGAGTGGAGGGTGGATTAAAATGTTCGCTAACTCTATTAATCCTGCTTAGGAAGTGGACTGGTTCAGTGAGAGTAAAGCAGTATTTCTGGCCTGCATCAGACACCTACTGCAGGGTACCTCCTGGTTTTGTTCACTCTGTGGGTCTAAATCAACCCTGAATAGGCAGGTCTTAACAGTTCTCCACATCCCTTGTAATAATAATAATAAACTTTATTTGTACCGCACTTTTCAGCTCAAGAGCACAAAGTGCTACAACAATAGAAACATAGTCATGCAAGGAGTTCCTGTGCTTCACTGGTAATCTAGTAAAGGCCATCAAAGCTCCTCAGTTGTTAGTAATACTACTGTTACTTCATATAAATGAGTCAAATAACAGAATTAAACTTTAATTTTTATTTGGAGCAAATAAAATAATAATAATTCCAGAGCACAATTCCTATCCCCAGTTCTTACTGAATGTTCATAATTTAACCAGGTTCTTTTCCACAAGAGTGAGAAACAAGGCTTTATTCAAAATCCACTTGTTTACTATGTGAATGATCCATCTTTGGTGCAGAGGTTTGTGGACTGAACAGCATGTTTTGTTAAGTTTACTTCATGTGTGGTGTTCAGAACAGCAACCCACTATGATTGTATTCAAAAAGGGCACCCCATTCATTAATTTGATAGCTGCTCATTTGGTGCATATGCTGAAAAATGAATGCCCCATGTTTCCACGGGCTTCTTCATACTGCTGCGTTGGAGCATGCACAATAGAGTCCATCTTCAGTGGAGCTGGCTGAGAGCATGTGGATCAGAGACTGCCTCAGTGTTCTGCTCCCATCTCTCTCAGCGGCATGGGTGCATTATAGCAGCTGGATATGCCAAACTTAAAGGATAAAGTTGGTGTGCTGCAGTTGTTCCTTGATTTATTTAACAAAGACAGTGTTGCAGAATCCCTTCTTGACTGAGAACCAGCATATCTGTTTGCCTCTGTGTGCAGTAACATTAGGTCAATATATGTGACTCAGAACTCTCTGAAAGCTTTTTGCTGACATTAAGCCCAGTTACCTTATATAAGAGGACATAGACTTATTTGATTAAGTTTCAACATATAAATGATCAATTAATTTGCATGTTATTAGTTATTTCTGCAATATATTTGACAAGGATGTTGGCACTCGTAAATCTGAAAGCCTTTTCACTAGATCAGAAAGACAATACACTATTTCTTATTGCAGTTGCAGTAGCAACTGACTGTTGACTATGGTCAACAGTTTGGCTGTGTACTGTTTGTCAAATCCTAATATATTGTGCATGCTGCTGAATTGTTGCTCTTGTCAAATCCTTAAATTTGTTTATTTTTTTTACTTTTTAGGGCCCACCCAAAAGATGAACTTGTTCCAGTCAATTACAAGTGCCTTGGACAACACTCTGGCCAATGATCCTACAGCAGGTACGATGCCAAAACAGGAAGTGGAATTGTATACATTCATTAAAATGTTACTCCTGATAACAGTTGTGCTTTTTTGACAGTGCACATTATGTTAATTCATGTTTTTCTTCTTAACTATGCAGTACCAGTCAAAAGTGTCCAAACTTTTTAAAATTCAGTTTTCTTCATCTATTGTAAAAATGAATGTGATCTTTTTTTTTTTTTAGTCAAGCACCATAGATTGTCATAGACTTGTAGTCAGGAGTGGACTAGAGGTCCAGTGTCATGATTTTCTCATGATGTGATTTTCAGGTAGCATCTTTACACTGTATTTTTTTTAACCTGTTTCTTTCTTGTGTGCTGAAGTGCATGCACTTTTATCACTGAGTGTATTGTCTTGTTTACATGCAGTCATCTTTGGGGAAGATGTTGCCTTTGGTGGAGTATTCCGGTGCACCGTCGGTTTGAGAGACAAATATGGTAAGATATTTTATTTTGATTCATCCCCTAATTAAAATGTCACTATAGCTGAGTCTGCTTACATGTCAGCACCCTGTTCTTCAGTCTGCTTTACATGATTTTGCCACTAGATAGCAGGATAGGACTGTGAAGAATCTCACCACCAAGCCCTCCTGAAAGGTCTTATTACTACTCATTGTTCACCCAGAGGACCATAAGGATCTGTTTGTACTTATTTATCCATTGTAGTAGGGGCATCTTATATACTTGACACAGTAGGGTGCAGTGCTCATTGCTGAGAGTTTGTTGTTGAGTCTTCTTTTTCCTCTCCATTGCTCAAGTATTACTCAAATTAAAATGTTACGTTCAGGGTCTTACAGGCTGATCATCCTGCCAAATAGGCCTAACCAATTTCATAGTCATGGTTACTTATTTAGGTGTCTCCATTCCAGGCCTTGGCATGTAGGCTAACATCGTTCACTGGGACATTTAAGTGCAGAAGAGACATCCCTACAGTTATTTGTAATGCCTGCACTTTTTTATTTCCGTGTTCTGTAAAGAGCACTGCAATAAGTACTATTTGCTCACATTTTGCTGGAGTGAGTCACAGAGATGGTAATTCAACATTATGGCAGTTTTGAAGCTGCAGTTTATGCTATTTCCCATTCACACAATAATCCATCCATGGTAATATCAGTTTGTTCAGTGGGGAAGATACAGTGGGATTTGAGGGCCATTTTAATTTTTTGATTATCTTGTAGTATTGTTTTATTATGTTCATTCTCTATGATTTAAGGCTATAAAGTGTAGGTCAATACTGAATTATATTTAGCCATTGTGCATTTTATTATTCACACTTGTGATTTTCCTAGCAAAAAATGCCACTCACTTAAGTTTATTACCTGAGACTTAAACCTGTCCTAAATAAAGCAATCCCATCTGGGCTTTTCACAGGGACTGAATTGCAAGAAATGTTATATATTTGTTTTAAGCAAATCTGGATTTTGTATTACCTGTCTGCAGCGAAGTCAGGTCAAAGTGTTTATTGTCATATGCACAGTAAGGAAATGTGTTTCCCTGTGCAATGAAATTCTTACTTTGCCGTCCACATGAATGCCACAAAATACAAGTGAAATATAAAGTAGGTAAATAGGTAACACAAAATTTAAAGCACTTTAAAGCAGCTAATGAAAGAAGCATAATAAAAAAATATAGCTAAAGCGGCAAAGAGAAAAAAGTATTTCATTAGCAGCTTTTTAGACAGTTTGGCTGACTTGAACACTGGTCTAAGAACCAGGCCTGTTCTCTTGCTCGTGAGTTTTGTAACGTGTACAATCTTAACAACTACAAGTCTTTAACTTGCACCTTGTTAGGCAGTATGAACAGAGTAAACACTGCCATAAATAATGGGTCAATATTTTCCTTGTCAGAGCAGAATGTCCTGCATATACGATTCATGAGCTATATCTCAGAGTTCTTATCTAACAGCTGGTTCTTTTGACACTGAAAATGTCCTTGCCAATGAAATGCCGCTCACATGCGTCATGGGGCTTGTTTGTATTTTCAGTAGTTAACTACATAAAAATGGCAAAAAAAAGTAATGTAACTGCTTAAATTACTATGTAAATATGAATGTAGTTGAACTCCTAGCAAGCTACTGCAAAATGTAGTTAAACTATTAGAAGCCTCTTTTTATATAAATGTCTCTGGCAGAACTGGGAACAGGCAGTGCGCATGTCCCAATGTTTCTTCAGTTAATTTCAGGTCCCCCAAAATAGATTGACTAAATATAACATGGAATGTCAGTACTTAAACGTTATTCTTGTTCATTGTTGTATAAAATAATTACATGTCAATACAATTGTTTTGGTTCTCTGTTTATTTTGTGGGCTTTTTTTTTTCACCTTAAAATAGCAAGGAGTCTCAAATCGGTCCTACAGTACAGCTTTGCCTTTTGTTTTCATTGACGTCAGGAGTGTTGACCTTTGGCGAAGGATCATTATTTTCCATCTCATCCGTGTGTACAGTCATGGCTGTAAAGCTGTTTTTATCCCTCTCACTATTGAAAGACAGGGCGCACACCTCTACCTCCCACAGCCATTTTACAGAACAGAGGTTAATGCAGGGCAGACACTATATGAATGGCTCTTTATGAGGCAGATGCATTCACCTCGATCATCCAGCACTCCTGCCACTGGATTTAGGCTACTTGCTGTTTCCTGAAAACAACAGGACATATTGACTCTGTGCTGTGACCGCTCTCCTTCTCACTGATGTCTTTATCCTCTTTCACTGAGAGCAGGGTTGGTGTCAGACAGCACTGACTAGAAAAGTTACTCAAATATGCTGTGTGTTTAAAATAGACTCTAGATTTGTGGTAAAGACCAAGGCATAAACATTAACATGACACTGGATTTGATATTTACACAATGTGTTATTTGAACATTCCTTGGTTGTAGTTGTAATTAGTTGACTTACTACTCATTGCTTTGATGTCACACACACATACACATGCTTACTGTCACTTTAACATGAAGCTGCTTATTTGAGGTTGGCTTCAGCTTGAGTGACACTAAATCACTCATTGTTCATGCCTCCAAGGGTTTGTGGTGCTTTGTTGCTGCGTCAGACTTTGTAAGCACAGAGGAGAGCACACAAGAGATTCATTGATGAGAAGCACACTTGCCAGCAAAACAGAAAAACACCAGATTGGCAAATACACAAAGATGAGAGCAAAAATAACAAACTCTATCCAAATTTAGAGACACACTCTTGTGGCTCTGTCAGATTATAGGGTGGAGAATGGAACATAGTTTTTTTTCTGTTTATACTCCGTGGGGGTTGTGTGTGCATCACAGACTTGGTTAACTACAGCTGGAGTCATCAGTTTGGCACTTAATTTATTTTAGGATGTCATGGCATCTTTGCAGTCACATCAGTTTGGTGTATGACATGGGCCGTGCGCTGTTATCATAAAAAGTCTGCAATTCCTTAAATAGCAGCTACAGTTGAGATCAGTGGTCCCAAATACTGTATATGGTTAAAATCAGTTGGCTTTTTGATGATCTCAGCCTTGATAGCACTGTGGCTGTCACACCATAGACCTTAAACTTCTCTGTGAATCTTTAGTTCTCTTAAATTTTGTACATCAGGTAACACTTTGACTCATTAGGCACTAGTTGCCTTTCTGTACTAGTGCTCCAGCTTATAAACCTTTTTTCCCGCCTGTCATCTCATGTCGCCCCAGGTAAGGACCGAGTCTTTAACACTCCCCTTTGTGAGCAGGGGATCGTGGGATTTGGTATTGGTGTAGCTGTTGCTGGTGCTACAGCCGTCGCTGAGATCCAGTTTGCTGACTACATCTTCCCTGCTTTTGACCAGGTAAGACGCACTCCCTTCCTCAATAGACCTTTTTCAAGGCAGACATCTCAGATTGTCTGTACCCAGCAGGAGAAGCTCAGTGTCATTGATAACATTAAAAATAAGTGCATTTCATTCAGGTGAGCTGTTTGGATTTTGTCAGCTAAATTTGTTTGCCCATGCTTTTTCTGTTATGACAAGTCAAACTGCCTGTTGTAGAGTGTTTGTAGAGACAGGAAATGTCTAAATATTTGACCACTTTGCAACATAGCACTTGGAAATCAAAACATCCTTTAAGCATCTTATGCTTATTTCAATGCTTATGTGGTCCAGGAAGGTCTCCCCCTGTTAGCAAAGGGTCACTGGATTCACTGGCTCTTTGAAGGTGTTTCGTTAAAGGGATGTGGGTTTGAATGAGAGAAAGCATGCTATGGGAAAGTAACACCTTTCCTGCCTTTTCCATCAATAATCACATACCCTTTTCTCATTTGCATCACATATAGAAACTCAGGATTCACAGACATCATACAGGCATTGCAGGAATCAACATGGCCCTTGCTTTCCAGTGATATCTGTTGTTCGGTTATCTTTCTGACAACTCAAGGTAGAAATTCTTTTTCAAATAGCTAATCCTAAAAACTTCACAGCATGCCTCACAATCATCAAACTGTATCAGAAAATAGATCCCTTGGCTATCTCGCTAACTCCATACAAAGACTATTGTTTGTATCGTCCAGAGCTGGTGAGAATTGTATTGGGCAAACATCTAAACAGTAGAAGGACTGGATAAACAAAGGTGAAAAGAAATTATTTAAAAAAAACAGCTTTTTTGAACATTGTATACAATATGTTTTATGCCAGAACCATGGTAAATGGTATCCCATCAGCATGGTCTATAGATGTATAGCATATGTGTGCCTTATGCCTTAACTGTTAATAATAACAATTTATAGCTGGTTAAGACATGGAGCGACTATGCTTGACCAAGCCTGAAAAATACAAAACTTAGCAAAATCGGCCTTTTAAAGGTAAAAAACAATGTTGATAAAAAAAATGCAGTGGCATTAGTCTTTAATCTAAAGATGTATAATGTGTAAACTTGGTGATTACAATTTGACATCATTGTGCTACTCCCTGATATGAAGACAAACCAGACATACCTGGCATGAATAAACAGCTGGGTTGTACTTGTTGTACTTTGACTTGTATCCATGTTTCCTCTGAATGTGCTGTTTTTTGTGTATAAGTAATGAGGCAAAAGATTTTTTAAAATTCTGTTAAAAATTAGTTAAACAAAGGAAACATTTTACTATGTCTCCCTGTTCTGCAGCTTTCTTGTGGAAGATTAATGTGACATTAGCAGGCTAAGTAGGACAGTGGACTGCCCTGCTGTTTTAACACGCATGCATGTGGACACTAGAGTCTTTCTGTGTATTCTCCTGTTCACCAAGATAAATGGGAGTCCTTGCTATGTCAAGGTAACATAAAACGGTATGTGATGATAGATTTGGTTTCTAACTGGCTCCTGCTATGATGCAGAGGTTCTGTCCTTCTGTGCGTCACTTAAAACAGTGCAGTCCGAACTGACCTTGAGAGACGTGCAGTAAAAGCTTGATTAACAGCTCACACGACGTTCAAGGAGGAGATCCTGGGACAGATTTTTGGAGGAAGCCCAGTATCAGAAATTGTAGCTGTAGTTAAAATCAACGAGACACTTAAGATGATTGTGCTTATTAAAAACAAACTATGTTTTTGACAGCTTAAGAGGAATAACAGAGAAGCACATAAAACCTAAATCCAGTTTTCCACAGAAGAAGATTCTGTTTTTTTCCCAGTGTTTTTCACAATTTATTAAAGCAGCATCAACTCATGAAACTTAAATGTTTTACACATTACAGTGTTTTGTGTTTTTACATAATGTACTGCTTTGCTGTTGCAACAACGCAGCTGTCACCCAAGGTTCAGTAAAGTTTAATCTTTTTGTAACTTCTGTGGTCTTATTAAGCTGAATCTTATTGTTTTTTTTCTTCCAGATAGTAAATGAAGCAGCCAAGTACCGCTACCGTTCTGGCAATTTGTTTGACTGTGGCGGCCTCACCATTCGGGCTCCGTGGGGCTGTGTTGGCCACGGATCACTATACCACTCTCAAAGCCCCGAAGCCTTCTTTGCACACTGCCCTGGCGTCAAGGTAAGCCATGCAGTTTGTTATTACTGATTCTGACTCCTTCCTCTGTGTTTCTGTAGTTTTTCTGTTTGTGCAATTTTGAAATGTCTCTTCAAAACACATTCAGAAGCATTCTGGCAAAGCATCAAGGTGTAGGTGTAGGAAATGGACCAAGCTTACTGTCATTAATTATATTCATGCTAATACAGTCATAATACTGAAAATAAATGCAGAAAGAAAGTGCAGACCATGGGGAATAAGTACAGTATACTAATGATTTTGAAAATGTTCCAATAAGTAAAGACTGATACTTACGCAAAATGATGACATAAGCCATTTACATCTAGGGTTATTACATTTTCAAAAATTCAAGTTCTAATAAATGTGAACTAGCACATGGTTCATTGGAAATACTCCAGACACAACACATGTAGCATATTGTTGCTCCTAGCCTTCTTTATACGCTTTAGATCTGACAGCCCAGGTGCCCTTTAACTTTGTCATGTTACATGTCAGTATAGCAGGTTACATACCATTTGGATGTACTGTCAAACACTTGTAGGCATGACAGCTGCCATTCCTTGTGAATGTGCTCTGTAAATAAGATCCTGGCACCATACAGCACTATTTACAGTAGGAAACAAACGAATAGTGATACCTGTTGGTATGTGTGAACAGTTCCTGAGGTAGAAAGTGATTGTCTCACATACTGCGAGGAACAGAAGTATTTGAACACCCTGCGATTTTGCAAGTTCTCCCACTTAGAAATCATGGAGGGGTTTGAAATTCACATTGTA